GGCAGTGCCCAAGGCCAGGTTGGGATGGGGCTTGGAGCCACCCAGCCCGGTGGGAAGGCTGTGGCTGCCCTGGATCCCTGGCAGTGCCCAAGGCCAGGTTGGGATGGGGCTTGGATCCACCTAGCCCAGTGGGAAATGTCCCTTGGTGGCACCGGCCGGGCTGTGGGGTCCGTGCCCATCCCGATCCATGGCTGGAATCCCTGGATCCCGCAGTACGCCTGCTACGCCATCGGGAAGGACGTGCAGGCCATGAAGGCTGTGGTAGGCGAGGAGGCCCTGTCCGCCGACGACCTGCTCTACCTGGAGTTCCTGCACAAGTTCGAGAAGCACTTCATCTCCCAGGGTGAGCCCCCGGCCCTAAACCGGGGATTTGGGGTCTGGGGGAGCCCCTGCAGCAGCCCCCAATCCTGCGCCCCACTCCGCCGGCAGGTCCCTACGAGAACCGGAGCGTTTTCGAGTCGCTGGACATCGGCTGGCAGCTCCTGCGCATCTTCCCCAAGCAGCTCCTCAAGCGCATCCCCGAAAACATCCTGGCCGAGTTCTACCCCCGCGAGGCCAAGGCGCCCGAGCAGGGCACGGCCCTGTGATCCCAAATCCTCACAAATCCCCCTTTTCTACCATCGGATCCCCCTTTCCTACAATTGCATCCCCATTCCTAAAATCGGGAAAAATCTCTTTGTTTTTATCGGTGAATAAACAACCGTGGTCACCAAAGCCTTCCGTGCTCCGATGTTTCCTTCTATGGCCATGGAATTCCCACCCTGGGAACCCCTGGAGCAGCAGCCCCTCACCCCAGCCGGAGCTGCAGCTCCCCAAAACCCCATAATTCTGTGTTTTAGGGGAAAACTCCCCCGTGGAAAATTCCAAGATCCTGCTGTGGGTTTCGCTTCCCCCCCGTTGGGATCGGGGCCTCTCTGGAGGAGGGAGGGGAGAGGGAGGGCAGGGTGGTTTCACTTCCCTGCGGGGAACGAGGAGGCAGCGCCGGGGAGAGGGAGGCACCCCCAGATCTCGGGGGTTTGGGGGACCCTGGGCATGGCCTGGGCTGGGGACGGAGTCGGGGGACACCTCACGGGTAAGGGGGAACCTGGCGGGGGATTTTTGGGGGGTCACCAGTGGGGTTTGGGGGGTGGGATTTGGGGTTAGGGGGGATTTTCCCTCCTCAGCATTGGGGGATTGGCTGGGGAGAGGGTCCGGTCTGGGAAAAGGGGTCGGGATTCAGATTCCCGAGAGCATTCCCCACTGGATCTGGGATTGCGGGGAACGGTCCAGGGGGAGCTGGGGACCCTGGGGACAAGGGATGTCCCCAGTGCCACATCGGGGACCCCAGGGCTGCGTCCCCCTCTGCAGAGGGGACACTCGGGGGTGCCAGGGACCGTCCTGTCCCCCATTGTCACCCCTGGTGTCACCACAGTCCTGGCTCGGGTCCCCGCAGCCATCCTGGAGTCCGGGAGCAGCGAGGAGGAGGAGGAGGAGGATGAAGAGGCAGCTCCTGGACAGGTATCGCTTCCAGGCTCCTTTTCCATTGGATTCCCACTTCCTGATCCCATAAATTGGGGGAGGAAGCGGGGGGTGCCCCATGTCCAGATTCCAGGGGTGACACGGGAACAGCGTCCCCGGTGCTGGGGGTGTCCGGGTGGCTCAGGGCTGGCCAATGGAATGATGATGGAATACCAATGGAATTCCAATGGAATGATGATGGAATGCCAATGGAATTCCAATGGAATGATGATGGAATGCCAATGGAATGATGATGGAATGCCAATGGAATGATGGTGGAATGCCAATGGAATTCCAATGGAATGATGATGGAATGCCAATGGAATGCCCTGCTGGTGCCGATGGAATTCCACGCTGGTGGAATGCCTGCCAATGGAATTCTGCACCAAAGCGGTGCCACTGCCAAACAGTGCCAATAGAATTCCTTCCCAAGGGCATTATCCCAAGGGCCATTCCATCCCAATGGAATTCCATCCCAGTGCCGTGCCATCCCAATGGAATTCCATCCCAGTGCCGTGCCATCCCAATGGAATTCCATCCCAGTGCCATTCCATCCCAATGGAATTCCATCCCAGTGCCGTGCCATCCCAATGGAATTCCATCCCGAGGGCCATTCCGTGCCATGACAATGCCATGTCGTGCCAACACGGTGACATTTCCCATGGCCGTACCGGTGGAATACTGTGCCGATGGAACTCCATGCTAATGGAACTCCATGCCAACGGAATTCCGTGCCGACCCAGCGCCTCATTCCCATTTTTCCCACCACAGCACCCACCCTTGGATCCAGTGCCGGATGACACCGAGACCCGGCTGGCCGAGCTGGAGCAAGGTGAGCCCTGTCCCTTCCTGGTGTCCCATCCCAATGTCCCATTCCCATTGTCCCATCCCAGTGTCCCCAATGTCGCCGGCACCTCCCTGGCCCCGCGCAGGCTCTGGGGTAAATCCCCCTGGCCGGGCTCTGGGCACAGTGGGCCATGAGCAGGACACGCTGGTGGCACCTGACCCCCGGTGTCACCGCCGGTGTCACCGGCAGCGTCGCAGGCGCTGCTGGCCGAGCTGGCGGCGCTGGACACCGAGGTGGAGCTGGAGCAGCAGTGCTGGCAGCGAGCCCAGGCCTTCAGTGCCCAGGTGGGGATGGGGACAGGTCCCCAAAGCTGTCCCTTCGTGGGGACAAAGGTGCTGAGGCACCCTCGGGGCACGCCCGGCTCGGGAAGTGCAGGGGGAACGCCAATCCTGGGATTCTGGGATTCTGGTGGAGCAGGAGAACACACGGCTGGAGAGGCTCAGCCTGGCCAGGAGCCCCAAAGGGACCCCTGAGGTGACCCCAGAGGAGGTGACACCCGTGATGACACCTGAGGTGACCCCAGAGGAGGTGACACACACGGAGGTGCCCCCGGAGGAGCCACCCACCCCTACCCAGCTCCCAGGTGAGCCTGGGGTGTTCCACCCCATCCCATCCCTCCCAATCCAATCCCAATCCCATCCCATGGATCCCATCCCATCCCACCCGATCCAACCCAATCCCAATCCCATCCCACCCTGGGACAGGATCCCACCCCATCCCTGCCCCGCTGTCCCCTCCCAGTGTCCCCAAATCCCAGGTTGTCCCCACACCAAGCTTTGGGGACGTTCCCAAGCCCCATTTTGGGTCAAATCAAGCGAAAGCAACACCAAAATCCAACCGCAGTCGCCGACACCGCTCGCGCTTCCCCTTTCCCATCCTCTTTTCCCAAGGTGCCACTTCCTGCTCTCTGGACCTTGTGGGAACATCCCAAATTCCCTGATCCCACCGCTGGGATGATCCTTGGGGGTGTCCCAGGGGTGCCACCCCTCTGTCACAGCCCATTCCCGCTGGATCTCGTTGCGGAGGCAGATTCCAGTCGGGATATGGGGGACACAGCTGGGATGGGGTGACCAGGGGGGCCCAGCTCCAGGAGGGCTGAGCTGCCCTTTCCCATCCCTTTTTTCCCCCTTTCCCATCCCTTTTTTTCCCCTTTCCCATCCCTTTTTTCCTCCTTTCCCACCTTTTTTCCCCCTTTCCCATCCCTTTTTTCCCCCTTTCCCATCCCTTTTTTCCCCCTTTCCCATCCCTTTTTTCCCCCTTTCCCACCATTTTCCCCCCCATTTCCCAACCTTCTCCCCAATTTCCCACTCCTCAATTCCCCCTTTCCCAACCTTTCTACCCCATTTCCCACTTTTTATCTCCCTTTCCCACTCCTCATCCCCCCCATTTCCCACTCCCCTTTTCCCTCTTTTTTTCCCCTTTCACCCCTCTCATTTCCTCCCTTTCCCACCCTTTTTTCTCTTTCCCCCACTCCCACCCCAATTTCCCACCCCTCAATTCCCCCTTTCCCAATCTTTTTCCCCCCATTTCCCACTTTTTCTACCCCTTTTTCACTCCTCATTCCCCCCATTTCCCACTCCTCATTTCCTCCTTTTCCACCTTTTTCTCTTTTCTCCTGTTTTCCCCTTTCCCTCCTTTCCCCTTTTCTCCTTTCCTCCCTCTCCCCCTTTTCTCCCTTTTCCCCCTTTCCCACCCCTCAATTTCCCAATTTCCCACCCCTCATTCCCACTTTTCTCCCAGCTCCACAGGAAGATCTCTCCCAGCTCCTGGAACATCACCGGGACCTCCAGGCACAGCTGCAGCACCTGCACACCCAGGTACCCCAAAATTGGCCTGAACCCCCCTTTCCCATTTTGGGATTTTGGGGATTAAGCCCAAAAATGTCCCAGGGCTCCGGGTGGGATTTTTTTCCCAATTTCCCACCCCTCATTCCCACTTTTCTCCCAGCTCCACAGGAAGATCTCTCCCAGCTCCTGGAACATCACCGGGACCTCCAGGCACAGCTGCAGCACCTGCACACCCAGGTACCCCAAAATTGGCCTGAACCCCCCTTTCCCATTTTGGGATTTTGGGGATTAAGCCCCCCCGATGTCCCAGGGCTCCGGGTGGGATTTGTCATTGATTTCTCGCTAATTTTTGCGGATTTTTTGCTGATTTTCTCCCAGACTTTTTACTGATTTTTCACTGATTTTTCACGAAATTGCTCTTGAAATTTTTATGGATTTCTCCTAGATTTTCTCCCGGATTTTTCACTGATTTTTTTCCTGGTTTTCCCCCAGATTTGTCCTGGATTTTTCACTGAGTTTTCCTGGATTTTTCACGATTTGTCATAGATTTTTCTCCCACATTTCTCCTGGATTTCTCCTTGATCATTCACAGATTTTTCACATCCTGGATTTTTCACTGAGTTTTCCTGGATTTTTCACGATTTGTCATAGATTTTTCTCCCAGATTTCTCCTGGATTTCTCCCTGATCATTCACAGATTTTTCACGAAGTTTTCACAGATTTTTTGACGATTTGTCCCAGATTTTCTCTGGGATATTTCACGGATTTTTTGCGAATTTTTCATGGATTTTTCACTTATTTTCTCCCGGCTATTTCCCGGATTTCTCACGTATTTTCCCGTGTTTTCCCGGCACAGCTGGAGCTGGAGAGGGAGGAGCAGCAGCGCCTGCGGGCAGCCCTGGCCGCCAGCCAGAGGGCACTGAGGTCCTTCCAGAGAGGTCAGCAGCGTCCCCGTGTCCCCTCCCAGTGCCACCAGTGCCACCAGTGCCACCCCAAACCAACAGCTGGCAGCTGCCCCGGCTGTCCCCACCCACTCCAGGTGGCAGTGCCCACGTGCCCGTGGTGGCATCACCCTCATTTCCCCCTTTTCCCACTCTTTTTTCCCCTTTTCCCCCCCATTCTCCCATCAATTTTCTCCCTTTCCCGACCCTTTTTTCTCCCTATTTTTCCACATTTGTCCTCCTCATTTTCTACCCCATTTCCCACCCATTTTCTCCCTTTCCCCACCCTTTTTCCCACTTTCCCACCTCTTTTTTCCCCCCTTTCCCACACCTTTTCCACCCTTTTCTTCCACTTCCCCCCCTTTTCCTCTCCCTTTTCCCACCCTAATTTCCCCCTTTTCTCACCCTTTCCCACCCCCTATTTCGCCCCTTCCCCACCTTTTCCTCCCCCCTTTTCCCACCTCTTTGCCACCCTTTTCCTCCAATTTCCCAAACCTTTTCCCCCTTTTTCCTCCCACTTCCCAAACCTTTTCCATCCTTTTCTTCCACTTCCCCCATTTTTCACCCTTTTTCCCACCCCTTTCCCACCCTTTTCCCCTCATTTCCCAAATTTTTTCCCCTACTTCCTACCCCTCTCCCCTCCCTTTCCCCGGTGCCACCCCGCTGTCCCCGCAGTGTCCCAGATTGTCACCCAGGATTACTGCCAGGCCCTGGAGCAGCTGGAGCTGGAGCAGGACCTGCGCTGCCACGCCGAGGCCTTCGCCCACCAGGTGCCACCAAGGCCTCGGGGACACCGCTGGGGGTGGCACGGAGGTGACAGCACCCCTGGCACCCATCCCGAGGGAATGGGGTGATCCCAAAGGAATGGGGTGATCCCAGGGGTCTCCCGCCGCGGTTTTTCGGGATGTAGCCGGGCGGGATTCACCACCAGCCCCTCTGGAAGGTGGCACCGAGGTGACACCGAGGTGACGCCATGGTGACACCCGCGCTCCCAGATGCTGGTCCAGCAGAAGGAGGCGAAGCGCCAGAGCTCCATCCTGCTGAGGAGCGCCGCGCCCAATTCCCAAATCCTGGAAGCGCTCCAGGAATTGGAAAAACTCAGCTGGGAGCTGGAGGAGACGCGGCAGGAACAGCGCCAGCGGGTGAGGGACCGTCCCCAAGCCTGGGGACACCACGGGGAGGGGACAGCGGGCTCCAGATCCCACACCTCCATTCCCATTTTTCCATGGAGCGCTGCTTTTTCCATGGATTTCTCATCATGGATTTCTCTCCATGGATTTCTTTCCATGGATCTCTCTCCATGGATTCCTTTCCATGGATTTCCACCATGGATTTCCCATCATGGATTTCTCTCCATGGATTTCTTTCCATGAATTTCACTCCATGGATTTCTCTCCATGGATTTCCACCATGGATTTCCCACTATGGATTTTCCTCCATGGAATTTCTTCCATGGATTTCTTTCCATGGATCTCTCTCCATGGATTCCTTTCCATGGATTTCCACCATGGATTTCCCATCCTGGATTTCTCTCCATGGATTTCTTTCCATGAATTTCACTCCATGGATTTCTCTCCATGGATTTCCACCATGGATTTCCCACTATGGATTTTCCTCCATGGAATTTCTTCCATGGATTTCTTTCCATGGATCTCTCTCCATAGATTCCTTTCCATGGATTTCCACCATGGATTTCCCATCCTGGATTTCTCTCCATGGATTTCTTTCCATGAATTTCGCACCATGGATTTCCACCATGGATTTCCCACCAGGGATTTCCCACCATGGATTTCCTCCATGGAATTTCCACCATGGAATTTCTTCCATGGATTTCCCACCATGGATTTCCCTCCATGGATTTCCCACTATGGAATTTCTTCCATGGATTTCCCACCATGGATTTCCCTCCATGGATTTCCCACCATGGATTTCCCACCATGGATTTCTCTCCATGAATTTCCCTCCATGGATTTCCCACCATCAATTTCCCACCATCGATTTCCACCATGGATTTCCCACCATGGATTTCCCACCATGGATTTCCACCATGGATTTCCACCATGGATTTCCCACCATGGATTTCCACCATGGATTTCTCTCTGTGGATTTCCCACCATGGATTTCTCTCCATGGATTTCCACCATGGATTTCCCGAGGTGTTGACGGAACCTCATCCCACAGCGAGGGGGGAATTTGCCCTAAAACCCGCCGGGAGTTTTTCCCCAAATTCCCAATTTTAGGGTCGGGGAGCGTTGCCGTCCTTGGGGTTTTCCCAGATCCCGGAATTCCCCCATCCCACAGGAGCAGGAGCTGGAGCAGCAGCGGGAGGAGCTGCAGCGGGCGCGGGAAGCGCTGGAGGAGGAGCGGGAGGAGAAGCGGGAGCTGAGGGAGAGGCTGGAAGGGCTGGAGAAGGAAGGTGGGAATTTCCACATGGAATTCCAGAGGGTTCCAGGGCATTCCAGAGGGATTCCAGAAAATTCCAAAGGATTCCAGGGGGGATTCCAGAGGATTCCAGGGGGATTAAAAAAAATTCCAGGGGGATTTCAGAGGATTCCATGAAAAATCCAGAGGGATTCCAGGGGGATTCCAGACAGATTCCAAAGAATTCCAAAGGGATTTCAGAGGATTTCAGAGAGATTCCAGATGATTCCAGGGGGATTTTACAGGATTCCAGGGGAATTACAGAAAATTCCAGAGGGATTCCAGAAGTTTCCAGATTATCCCAGAGGGGATTCCAGGAGAATTCCAGAAGATTCTGGGGGGATTCCAGATGGATCCAAATCATTCCAAAGGGTTCTAGACGATCCCAGAGGAATTCTGGGGAGATCCCAAAGGGATTCCAGAAGATTCCAGGGGGGATTCCAGAGGATTGCAGGGGAATTCCAGGGGGATTCCAAAGAATTCCAGATGATTCCAGGGGACTCCAGAATATTCCAGAGGAGTTCCAGACAGATTCCAGAGGGATTTTAGAGGGTTCGTGGGGGATTCCGGAAAGTTCCGGAGGGATCCCCAATCCCAATCCCGCCTCATTCCAGTGGGATCGCTCCGGGAGCAGCTGGCACAGCCACCTCAGAGCCACCCCGAGGTGCCACCGCCGCCACCGCTGCCACCGCCCGCTGCCACCGCCGTCCCCGCCGAGTAGGTGACGCATCCCGGCAGCTTTTCCGGCCAACATTCCGGAATATTCCTGGAAAAGCGCTGCCCACACCCTGACTGTCCCCGAGGGGAGGGGACAGGGTGACAGACTTGTCACCTTCTGTCCCCTCTGGTGTCTCCTCCTGTCCCCGCCGCAGCCCCCTGGCCACCCTCCGGCAGAGGAAGGCGCGGAAAAGCCGGGAGCAAAGTGAGTCCTGAGGGGTGGGGACATCGGGAGTGTCCCCAAAGTGTCACCAGGCTGGGGACATCGGGAGTGTCCCCAAAGTGTCACCAGGCTGGGGACATCGGGAGTGTCCCTAAAGTGTCACCAGAACAGGGGTTGCTCCAGGGGTCCCCGAGCTCCATTGGGGGTGATTTGGGGACAGGGTGGCGCTGCCCGGGGAGGTGACAGCTCCACCCTCAGCATGACGTGCGCGGTGTCCCCAGCACGGGGAGGTGACACGCGGTGCCACCCTGGCAGGTGACTCAGGGACAGAGGACATCCATGCCCGGGCCGTGCAGGAGATGCTGGAGCGCATCCGGACCGGGATCGTCCTGCGGCCGGCCAGGGCCAGGCCATCCCCGTGCCAGGTGACAATGGGGACAACGGGCTGGCAGGCCTGGCATTCCCGGGGTCAGGAATTCCTGGGATTGAGCCATTCAGGGGTCAGGAATTCCCGGGATTGAGCTATTCCCGGGGTCAGGAATTCCCAGGGTCAGGAATTCCCGGGATTGAGCCATTCCCATGGTCAAGAATTCCCAGGATTGAGCCATTCAGGGGTCAGGAATTCCCAGGGTCAGGAATTCCCGGAATTGAGCCATTCCCAGGGTCAGGAATTCCCGGGATTGAGCTATTCCCGGGGTCAGGAATTCCCAGGGTCAGGAATTCCCGGGATTGAGCCGTTCCTGGGGTCAGGAATTCCCAGGATTGAGCCATTCAGGGGTCAGGAATTCCCGGGATTGAGACATTCAGGGGTCAGGAATTCCCAGGGTCAGGAATTCCTGGGATTGAGCCATTCCCAGGGTCAGGAATTCCCGGGATTGAGCCATTCAGGGGTCAGGAATTCCCAGGATTGAGCCATTCAGGGGTCAGGAATTCCCTTGGTCAGGAATTCCCAGGGTCAGGAATTCCCGGGATTGAGCCATTCCCGGGGTCAGGAATTCCCAGGGTCAGGAATTCCCGGGATTGAGCCATTCCGGGGGTCAGGAATTCCCGGGGTCAGGAATTCCCGGGATTGAGCCATTCCCAGGGTCAGGAATTCCTGGGATTGAGCCATTCAGGGGTCAGGAATTCCCAGGATTGAGCCATTCCAGGGGTCAGGAATTCCCGGGATTGAGCCATTCCCGATTTCCCGGCAGGACTCCATGACCAGCAAGAGGAGGAGCGCAGCGCTGGAGCTGCAGGGGATCCTGGTGGGCAGCGCTGTCCCCTTGGTGTCCCTTTGATGTCCCCATGGTGTCTTCCTGATGTCCCCTCGGTGTCCCCACGCTGTCCCCACGCTGTCCCCTCGGTGTCCCCTCGGTGTCCCGGTGTTGCCATGGCGTTGCCATGCTCTCCTGCAGTGTCCCCATTCTGTCCCTCGGTGTCCCCCTGGTGTCCCTTCAGATGTCCCCTTTGCACACCCATGGTGTCCCCTCGCTGTCCCCTCGCTGTCCCCATGGTGACCCCGGCTGTCCCAGGGTGCCCTGCGGAGGCCGAGCCGGAGGCGCAGCCGGAAGAGCCGGGATCAGCAGCTGGGATCCATCCTGGAGCTGGGACCCATCCTGGAGCGGCGGCGCCGGGCCCTGGACGTGTCCATGGGGGATTCCGTGGGCACCAATTCCATGGGGAATTCCATGGGAAACCAGTCCATGGGGAATTCCATGGGCACCAATTCCATGGGGAATTCCATGGGCAACAATTCCATGGGGAATTCCATGGGAAACCAGTCCATGCGGAATTCCATGGGCACCAATTCCATGGGGAATTCCATGGGAAACCAGTGCATGGGGAATTCCATGGGCAACAATTCCATGGGAAACCAGTCCATGAGAAATTCCATGGGCACCAGTTCCATGGGCACCAATTCCATGGGGAATTCCATGGGCACCAGTTCCATGGGCACCAATTCCATGAGGAATTCCATGGGCACCAATTCCATGAGGACTTCCTCCATGGGGAATTCCATGGGCACCAATTCCATGGGGAATTCCATGGGCACCAATTCCATGGGGAATTCCATGGGCACCAGTTCCATGGGCACCAATTCCATGGGGAATTCCATGGGCACCAGTTCCATGAGCACCAATTCCATGAGGAATTCCATGGGCGCCAGTTCCATGGGCACCAATTCCATGAGCACCAATTCCATGAGGAATTCCATGGGCGCCAGTTCCATGGGCACCGATTCCATGAGCACCAATTCCATGCGGAATTCCACGGGAGCACAGGAGCCTGGCGGAGCTGGGAAGGAGCCGGACGCGGGTAGGGAGCTGGGAATGTCCCCAGGGAGGGCATGGAGGTGACACCGGCAGCTGTCCCCTCCTGTCCCTGCTGCCACTCCTCTCACGGCTTTTCCCAGGAAACCGCCACAAGGAGCAGGACACGGACAAGGACAAGGACATGGACACGGCCAGCGTCCCCTTCCGGCCCCGGGGCCTTGGTGGCCTCCCCAGGACACGTCCCCGCCCCCGCTGGGCCTGGGACAGCGCGGACAACGCCTAGGAGCCGCTTCCCGGGAATTCCCGCCCTCCTTTCCCGGGATTTTCCACCTTCAGTTCCCGGGGTCTTCCAGCCTTGTCCCCCAAGATTTTCCACCCTCCTTTCCCGGGATTTTCCACCCCTTTTCCCCAAGATTTTCCACCCTTTTTTTCCCAGGATTTCCTGCTTTCCTTTCCAGGATTTTCCCACCCTCCATTCCCAAGATTTTCCTGCCTCTTTTCCAGGACTTCCCACCCTCACTTCCCAGAATTTCCCACCCTTATTTCCCAGGATTTCCCACCCTTTTTCCCAGGATTTCACGACCTCCATTCTCAGGATATTCCCATGATTTTCCACCCTCGATTCCCACCATTTCCCACCCCCCTTTCCCAAGATTTTCCACCCCTTTTCCCCAAGATTTTCCACCTTTTTTTCCCAGGATTTCCCGCTTTCCTTTCCAGGGTTTTCCCACCCTCACCTCGATTCCCACCATTTCCCACCCCCCCTTTCCCAAGATTTTCCACCCTTTTTTCCCAGGATTTCCTGCTTTCCTTTCCAGGATTTTCCCACCCTCCATTCCCAAGATTTTCCTGCCTCCTTTCCCAGGAATTTTCATCCCTTTTTTCTCCCAACTTTCCCACCCTCCTTTCCCAGGATTTTCCACCCTTTTTTCCCAGGATTTCCTGCTTTCCTTTCCAGGATTTTCCCCCCCTCCATTCCCAAGATTTTCCTGCCTCCTTTCCCAGGAATTTTCATCCCTTTTTTTCCCCAACTTTCCCACCCTCCTTTCCCAGGATTTTCCACCCTTTTTTCCCAAGATTTTCCCAGGCTTTCCCATCCTAATTTCCAAGGATTTCCCACCCTTTTTTTCCCAAGACTTTCCTGCCTCCTTTCCAGGACTTCCCACCCTCAATTCCGAGGATTTTCCTCCCTCATTTCCCAGGATTTCCCACCCTCCATTCCCAAGATTTTTCCAGGATTTTCCACTTTCGATTCCCAGAATTTCCTGTTCTCCTTTCCCAGATTTTCCTGCCTCATTTCCCAAAATTTCCCACCCTCCTTTCCTGAAATTTTCCATCCATTTCCTGGGATTTTACTGCCCCATTTTCCAGAATTTCCCTCCCTCCTTTGCAGGGATTTTCCCAGAATTTCCCACCTCCTGGGAATCCCTGGAAAAATGGAATCCCCTGGAATTCCACACTGCTTTGCCTTGGGAATGATCCAAACCCCGCCCACCCCATGGCCATCCCACCCTCCAAATTCCCCCAAAATTCAGGAATTCCTTCCCCAAAATCCCACAGGACTTCTGGCAGCTCCTCCTTTCCTACAACATCCAAATAAAATCTTTTATTTCCCTTGGATAATCACCTGGAATTATTCCCGACATTCCAAAGCTCCTTTCCCAGGAATCCCAAATCCTCCATTCCCTGGGAATTCCCTCAGATTTGTTTTTATCCCGTTTTTTTCCCCTTCCTCCTCCAGCTGGATTTCAAAGATTTAAGGCTGGGAGGGATTTTTCCCAAATTTCCCTGAATTCCTGCTCCTTTTCCCTATGGATTTTCCAGGAGGAAAACTGGGAATGAGAGGCCCAAAAAACAAAAAAAAAGGGAAATTCCTGCTGGAAAAGGAGAAGGAAATTTTTCCAGACTTTTCCAAATCCTGGAACTTTCCTGGACTTCTCCAAATCCTGAAGTTTTTTCCAGATTTTTCCCAAAACCTGGAAATTTCCTGGAGCTTTTTCCCAGATTTCTTCAAATCCTGGAATTTCTTCCCAGATTTTCCCCAAATCCTGGAGATTTTTCCCAGACTTCTCCAAATCCTGGAACTTTCCTGAAGTTTTTTTTTCCGGATTTTCCCAAAACCTGGAAATTTCCTGGAGCTTTTTCCCAGATTTCTTCAAATCCTGGAGTTTCTTCCCAGATTTCTCCAAATCCTGGAACTTTCCTGGAGTTTCTTCCTGGATTTCTTCAAATCCTGGAGTATTTTTCTCTGATTTTTCCCAAATCCTGGAGCTTTTCCCCTGATTTTTCCAAATCCAGCTTTTTTTGGGCTCTCCCAGATGCTTGCAGGGAAATTCCAGAGCTTGGGAATTTCCTTTTCCTGCCCTTTCCACAGTAAAATCCATGATCCCACAGGATGGGGCTTTTTTTGGGCTCTCCCAGACGCTTGCAGGGAAATTCCAGAGCCTGGGAATTTCCTTTTCCTGCCCTTTCCAGATTCAGTAAAATCCATGATCTCACAGGATGGGATCTGAATCCATGGATTTCCCCCAAAATCCTGGAATTCCTGTGGCAAAATTCCACCCAAATTCCACAACCTGGCCTTGGACACTTCCAGGGACCCGGAAAAATCCCAATCCCAATAAAAATCCACAAAACCCCGAGGAAAATCCAGGATTTCTCCATTTTATTCATAAATTTCCTGCATTCCCGGTGTTTCTGGGAATGTTTTTCCCAAATTTCGTCCCAAATTTCCATTTCCTGGTTAAATATTTATGGAATTCCACGATTTCCCTAAAATCTGATTCAGCTCCTGGAAATCCAGGCTGGAAAAATACGGAAAAACAGCTGGAAAAATTCCCAGGAAAATCGGGATTCAAAGGAATCAGGAATTCCTGATTTTCCTCATTCCCATCCTGGAATTTTCCAGCAAATCCAGAGGGGAAAAAACCCAAAAATCAACAAAAAAATCCCAATCCAAGAGGTCTCAGAGTAGAATTCCAGCTTTTCCAAAGGAATTTTTTTGGGGAATTCCTCAAAAAATCTTCTGGATCGGGAATTCCCAAGCGTGGCTGGGGTGGGAATGGAAAAATCCAGAAAAAAAAAAGGGAATTTTCTGAAGGGAAAGATGAAATTTGCAGCTCCCTTGGAGGATTTTCACCCTTTGGAAGAGGAAGGAAAAATCTGGGAATTCTCAACATTCCCCCTCGTCTGCAGGATCAGAAAAATCCGGAATTCTGGGAATTCCTTGGAAAACTGAGATTCCCACGGAAAATCCATTCCCTTCCCAAGGCTTTGCTGGAGGGGAAAACGGGAATTTTCAGGATTTAAACCGCCCAAATCCTGATTTTTTTAAGGAATCAGGAATTCCTGATTTTCCTCATTCCCATCCTGGAATTTTCCAGCAAATCCAGAGGGGAAAAAACCCAAAAATCAACAAAAAAATCCCAATCCAAGAGGTCTCAGAGTAGAATTCCAGCTTTTCCAAAGGAATTTTTTTGGGGAATTCCTCAAAAAATCTTCTGGATCGGGAATTCCCAAGCGTGGCTGGGGTGGGAATGGAAAAATCCAGAAAAAAAATGGGAATTTTCTAAAGGGAAAGAAGAAATTTGCAGCTCCCTCGGAGGATTTTCACCCTTTGGAAGAGGAAGGAAAAATCTGGGAATTCTCAACATTCCCCCTCGTCTGCAGGAGCAGAAAAATCCGAAATTCTGGGAATTCCTTGGAAAACTGAGATTCCCACGGAAAATCCATTCCCTTCCCAAGGCTTTGCTGGAGGGGAAAACGGGAATTTTCAGGATTTAAACCGCCCAAATCCTGATTTTTTTTTTTTTTGGGATCATTCCTTCTGGAAAAACAGGATGAAGGGACAGCGTGGAATCCTTCGGATTTATCCCGATTTTTCCCATATTTTTTTTTAATTCACGGTTCTGTGGAACCCTCAGGAAAACCCAGGAGCAGCTCCAAAAAAAAAAAAACCCGCAGAGAAAACCGGGAGATTCCCAAAATTCCCAAGATTTTCCATGAAACCATTCCCAAGGAATCACCCAAGGAAAAACCCCAAGCGTGGTCGGCACCTCCAGGAGTGTCCAAGTCTCTGAATTCCCAAAGAATTCCCGGAAAGAGGCAAAATTTGGGATATTCCGGTTGGGGATCTTCTGGATATTCCCAAATATTCCCAAATTTCAGTAAATTTTCTGCCTGCTGGGCAGGATGGCTTCCTTGATGAAGGAGAAAATCAGGAGAATCCCGGAGCGTTTCCCTCTTTTCCCCTTGGTGAAATAATTGGAGACGACGTCGTCTGCGGAAAACGGGGAACGGGATCAGAATTCCAGAGGGGAACGGGAGGTTTGGGGATTTTGGGACTGGGATGGAATTCCCAAAGGAGTTGGGGCTGGTCCTGGATCCCACTGGGAATGTGGGATTGGATTTTTGGGGTGATCAGGGATCCCAAATTTACGGGGTATTCAGGAAGTTACGATTCCATGGAATTCTCGGAGCTTTTGGAGAGCCCAGAGATCCCAAATTTCTGGGGTTCGCCAAAGGCTCAGGAATCCCAAATTTTTGGGATTCTTTGAGTCTTTGGGACTCCCAATTTCTGGGACATTCTGACCCTCGGTGACCCCTAAAAATCCCAGAATTTTGGGATATTCTGAGCCCACAGGAAGCCTCAGGAATCCCACATTTCTGGGATTCTCCAAGATTTCAGGGACCTCCAGGGATCCCAAATTTCTGGGGTTCACCAAAGGCTCAGGAATCCCAAAATTTCTGGGGTTCTTTTGAGCCTTTGGGATCCCAAATTTCTGGGATATTCTGTGCCCTTGGGGACCCAAAAAACCCAAATTTTTGGGACATTCTGAGCCCTTAGAAAGCCCCAGGGAATCCCAAATTTCAGGCACACCCAGGAATCCCCAGTTCCGTGGAATTCTCGGAACTCTGGGGGCACCCAGAGATCTCAGATTTCTGGGGTTCTTTGAGCCTTTGGGATACCCAAATTTTGGGACATTCTGACCCTTTGTGACCCCCAAAAATCCCAAATTTCTGGGACATTCCGAATCCTCGGCAAGCTTTAGGAATCTCAGATTTCTGGGATTCTCCAAGGGCTCAAGAACCACCAAAAAATCCCAAATTTCCATGACATTCTGACAAAATCCCCAAATTTTCAGGACATTCTGAGCGGGATCAGAACTGGACGAGCTCAGAATCCTTTCCCACCCATTCCTGACCCCATTCCCATCCCAATCCCATTCCCAATCCCAATCCCATTCCCAACCCCGTTCCCACAGCCAGGCTGCACCATGGAGGACAGGACGTTCAATCCTTGGGATTCTCCAACAGCTCAGGGATTCCCCCAAGGATCCCAAATTTCTGGGACATTCTGTACCCTTGGGAAGCCCCAAGGATCCCAAATTTCTGGGACGTTCTGTACCCTTGGGAAGCCCCAAGAATCCCAAATTTCTGGGATTCTCTGAAGGCTCAAAGACCCCAAATTTCTGGGATTCTCCAAGGGCTCAAGGACCACCAAAAATCCCAAATTTCCGGGATGTTCTGAGCAGGATCAAAACCAGACGAACTCAAAATCCTTTCCCACCCATTCCCAATCCCAACCCCATTCCCAATCCCAATCCCAACCCATTCCCAACCCCATCCCAACCCATTCCCAATCCCATCCCAACCCCATTCCCAACGCCGTTCCCACCTCCGGGCTGCACCGTGGAGGGCAGGACGTTCTCCCCGGCCGACAGCGACACGAAGAAGGCGAAGGGAATCAACCACAGGCAGAAGGTGAAATAAGCCAGGACCTGCAGAATTCCCAAAATTCCAACCGGAATTCCCAAAATTCCAACCCAAAAACCCCAAAGTTCCAACGCCAAAAGCCCAAAATTCCAAGAATTCCTAAGGAAAATTTCTATCTCATCCCTTTTTCTGCGGGATAAAAAAGTTTCCTCGAGGCGTTCCCAAATTTTTTGCTGTTCTTGGTTTCCTCTTGAAAAAAGGTAGAATTCCCAAAATTCCAACTAGAATTCACAAAATTCCAACCCAACACCCCCAAAATTCCAAGAATTCCTAAGGAAAAGAGTCCATTTCACCCCTTTTTTTTGTGGGGGAAAAGTTTCCTCGAGGCGTTCCCAAATTTTTTGCTCTTCCTCGAAAGAAGCCAGAAATCCCAAAATTCCAACCAGAATTCCCAAAATTCCGGCTCGGAAATATCAAAATTCCAACTCAGAAATCCCAAAATTCCAACCCAAAAAGCCCCAAAATGCCAAGAATTCCAATGGAAAATTCCAAACCAGAACCTGCAGAATTCCCAAATTTCCAACTGGAAATGCCAAAATTCCAACTCAAAACCCCAAAATTCCAAGAATTCCTATGGAAAATTTTCATCTCACTCCTTTTTTGTGGGATAAAAAAGTTCCCTCAAGGTGTTCCCAAATTTCTTGCTCTTCCTGGTTTTGTATTCCCGGATTTCGATTAAGGATTAATTTAATTAAGATTTTAATTAATTAAATTAAATCCTCTTGGAAAAATTAATGAAATTTATTTTAAAAAACCCACAAAAATTCAGGGAAAAATTGGATTTTTGTCGTTTTTTATGGAATTTTGGCCTCTTGGGATTTTTTTCCTAAAATTTTTAGCATTTTGGTAATTAATTGGGATTGACATTCCACATTCCTGGAATTTCCTGGGAAAACCCCAAACCTGCAGCTCCCAGGGAATTTCAGAACCTCAAGAAACCCCAGAAAAATTGGAAAAAAAATTTAAAAATCAGTTTTATTTTGAAGAAATTCAGAGCTACCAACCCAGAAATTTGGAAAATTCCAGATTTTCCAAAGGGGAAAATGGGGAAAATCCGGAATTTTTGGGATCTCACCTCGGAGAAGAGGTAAAATTCCTCAGCAAAATATTGGAATGCCAGGTAGTGATTGACCACGACCAGAACTGCAGGGAAAAAACAGGGAAAAA